TATACTAATATATATATATATATATATATATATATATATATGTATATATATATATATATATATGTTTCATTTTTAAGTAATGAAGGTACATTAGTTCAGCTACAAAAAACAGAACATTAATTTAGTTGTAATAGAATAACTGTAAGAGTGTAACTGTAACATTTAAACAAGTGGCTAATTAGTCCAACAATCAAACAATAAATTCAAGCCTGATCTTCATCTCACTTATAAATTACAATAGCATTTGATTTAATATGTATTAAAATATATTTATAGAGACACAACAATCAGGGAAACGTAAAAAGAGATTTAAGAAAATAATCAAGCATTTTACTGAAGGTTGGGTAGAATTTGAAAGTAAGAAAGTAGCAAAGTTTGTAGCACAAACGTTAAACAATACTCAAATATCCACAAGAAAGAAAAGTCGATTTTATGACATTATGTGGAATATAAAGTATTTGCCCAGGTAATGTAAATATTTTGTTTATTACTATTCATATAATAATATTTGATAATTATTAACATTTTATCTCTTTCCTACAGATTCAAATGGATTCATTTGAGCGAACGTTTAGCATATGAACGTGCCATTCATAAACAAAGACTTTTAACAGAAATAGCACAAGCTAAGAGAGAAGTTAATTTCTTCTCATATAACGTCGACAGAAGTAAAAAGCTACGTAAAAAACATGAACAAGGGGCGGAGACAACTTTTGAATTGCCTGAAGTTAAACAAAGGGATACTGACGGTGAAATAAGAAGTAGAAAAGCACAGACACATGTAACAGATAGAACAGAATTTCTTAAATCTATATTTGGATAAAATTTATTGTCTTTATGTACATGTATATAAGAATATCATATATCCTTTTGTATATATAAAAATATTAAAAATTATGAACAGTTTTATTTATTATACATTTATTACTTAAAACATTCACATTATAATTCTAGCTTTTATGTAATCCTAAACATCATTTTGAAGGAAGAGTTCCGTTTGCTTATAAAATTATTTATAGTTTTGTTTGCACACAGATTGATTGCCTATATTGCGCATATGTACATACGATCATGTTACACATATACACATATATTGCGACTATATATAGCACACATAGGAAAACCATTATACATAGCAAATTTATAACTCGTATAACTATATAAGTACGAACTTCATTACGCGTTGAAAGCATCGCTTAATGTGGAGTGGAAAGTTTAAAAGCCATATAGAAACATAGAACTATGGATTTCATTTCGCATTGAAAGTAACAAACACTACATGCATTGTAATTTCTTTTTCTATATACGAGGTATGTCAATGTCTAAAAATAATCCCAAACAAGATGTCTAAGTCGCCTCAAAGTCATCATAAATCATAAGACATTTTTAAATTATCATGATGTTATGTCTGTATGTCTTTTTGAATAATATTCAATATGAGTTTGTACGATTAGTCGTTCTTTTTGTTAGACAATTATGTTGTGGTTTGCTATTGTATTTTATGATTACAATATTATTTCACAACAAACTTAATTGGTGTATAATAATTAATCTGTAATATATAACAAGTTTTTTTTTAACGTTACGTTATTAAATTCAATTTTATCTCGATCTTCTTTTTCTCAATAAAATACCATACGAGATCTATTCCCGATAAAAGGAATTAGAATTCCTTACTTCCTTATCTCATATTTCTTTGAAATTTCCTGTGTAAATTTATTAGTTTATTTGTTTACTACAATTTTTTTATTTCTGTAATATTTTATGTATATTTCATACATTTACATTTTATTCAAAATTTTCGAAATAAAATTAATATCCCGAATTTAATGGTTTGAATTGATAATGCCTTTGACTATTTCGTTCGATTTTTTTCTATTATTTCAATTCAATGTATTTTTTTTTTATTATATTTTTCTATTTCTTTATTTTTTTCCTATTATATTTGATTCATATTCTCGCATATAAACGATTTTTTAATAACTTACTATGAACAATAATTTTATTGTTATAACACGGGATTTTGAAGAATGATTAAGAAAACGTTACATATCCATTTTGTTATCTTCCATTAATTAAAAATATTTTTTAATATTTCTAACTTCTATTATTTCTCGTAATTTAATTCATTACTTATATATCTGTTCTTTTACTTTTTTATCCAGACTCTTTTACCTTTCCTTTTTCTCCTTTACGGCTGATGAAATTTACAATTAATCTAAATCGAAATATAGCATATCATTTTATTTATGTGCGAGTAAATCATATAAATTGCATTTTTATATGCTCGTTATTCGGCTTATTTTTTTTTCTTTACTAAGAATCCATAGCGTTCTTAATAATATCTTAATATGCGAAGAAAAATTTACGACACATTTATCACACGCGGGGGTGCGCGCTCGAGGGTAGTAGGAAAAGAAAGAATTAACGAGGGAATGAAACTTACAATTAATACATTCGAGACATAGCGTATCATTTTATCTATGCGTGAACAAACTGTGTAAATTGCATTTTTACATGTGCTCGTTACTTTTCTTTTTCTCTATCGAATCCGTAGCGTTCTTAATAATTTCGATGCGAAGGAGGATTGTTGGCACGGTCACAC